TGGGTGCCAAAAAGGACTGTTGTGGTTTAACCTCAGTTGGCAACTGAGCACCGCACAGCTGCTCGCTCACTCCCCCCCGCCACCCCCCAGTGGGATGGGGGAGAGAATTGGAAGAGCACAAGTGAGAAAAACTTGTGGGTTGAGATAAAAACAGTTTAATAATTGAAATAAAATAATAATAATAATACACAAAGCATGTGATGCACAGTGCAATTGCTCACCACCTGCTGACCGATGCCCAGCCAGTCCCCGAGCAGCGGCCCCCCCGGCCAGCTTTCCCCCAGTTTATGTAGTGAGCATGACGTCACATGGTATGGAATGTCCCTTGGGCCAGTTTGGGTCAGCTGTCCTGGCTGTGCCCCCTCCCAGCTTCTTGTGCACCTCCAGCCTTCTCAGTCGGTAGAGCATGGGAAGCTGAAGAGTCCTTGATTTTGTGTAAGCACTACCTAGCAACAACTAAAGCATCCTTGTGTTATCAACATTGTTCTCATCCTAAATCCAAACCACAGCACTGTACCAGCTACTAGGAAGGAAATTAACTCTATCCCTGCTGAAACAGGACAATATTGTATAGTACAACACTGGTGACACACATCATTGCAGAGCAGTGTCAGATTTTTAACCCCCTTAGGTGGTTTTTTATGGTTTTAGGAGCTAATTTTAAAATAGGTTATTTTTCCATTTTTCTATCTAAAATTATCTCAATTCTGCATTGTATTCCTCAAATCTTTCTTATATCTGATGTTTCAAGTAGATTGGTTTTGAACTGCTCAGGTTTAGAGGAGAACAGGCACTTAAGAGTGAAGATAAAGAAATTACAATAAAAAGCTAGCATAAAGAAGCATACCCCTCTTTCCAAACAACAAATACCAACTGGTGGCTGATTCGGGCAAGCAATAGTCCCAGGTAACTGATGTCATTCACATCATCGCTCACATTTGCACAGTGCTGCAGGTAGCATGTGCGTTTGCTGAAACAGGATCCAAGCTGATTGCAGAGTGAACTGTGAAAGATAACAGTACTGTGGTGGGCCAACACGCGTGCGAAAGAGGAAAATACTCCAGGTTGAAGCTTCTCACGCAAGCCTTTTCAGTGTGTATTGCAACAGAGGTAGGCTTGGAAGCTAGCACAGAAGAAACAAATAGACAATCAGCCTACGGCTGAGGAAACATCTGATAGGCTTAGTGGGTGGAGTTGTCCTGTCTGGTCTGATTTATCACTGTACCTGTATACTCCTGGGGAAGGTGGTTTTATGCTGGTAAGGACTGCAGGCTAGAGGAGATGGGGTGTAGACACACGCTCTTCTTCCCAAAGGAAGGAAGGGAACTTATGGTAGGGGAGTAGTCAGCTGGGGGATGGTCTCTGCGTTTGATACCTGCAAACATGGTGGCGGTGTTCAGTGAATGTGTAGATGTGCAGATCTTGGCAGGGTGAGCTGTGGTCCTGCTCCCTTTTGCTAATTCAGCAAGAGACCCTTAATTTAACTAAGGCAGTCATCTCCTGGCATAGCAAATGGGACAGGCGTCCAAGGAAGTGTGACAGTTCTGACTTGGATGGACTAAATGCGGTGTAACCACCTCCTAGGCTGGGGCTCCAAGTACAAATGGCAAGCAGTGGTAGTCACCACCCCATATAATGAGACGCAAATTTATTTCCTAGCAAATGTGCCAAATAAAGGGAGATCGTTGCCATGTTCATATTACAATGGTTTCTTTTTGTAGAACTACAGTTTTCAGGTCACTGGCTGAAAACTGCAGGAACCAGCGGTTTTAGTGTCTCCAACACAATGACAATTCCTCCTTCCAGTGGAGCCATGACTAATAACTTTGTGTGCCCTGTGCATTGTGGAACTCTTTTTATGAAAAGAGGCAAGATAAAGATAAGTTTTTTGATACTTTTGAAATTTAAGGCCTTATCTAAAATCCAAGAACATCAGAACAATATTGGAACCTTTCCCGTTGCTTTCCATGGCATATAAAAGCTTTCTTTGAAAAACCACCTAAAATAAGATTGCAGAACATCTTGTGTACAGATTTACTGCTTTGAACTCCAGAGAGTTACCGAATAAAAGAAAAATAAAAGATGCCATACAATTTATCTAGAACACAAGACCTGAAGCAGCAGAGTATGGAGAAATGGGCAAGTTTGCTTCAGGGATGAGGACAAGACTGAATATATTCCCTGTTCTAGGGGACTGTCCTTGTCCTGGAGCTCTTTTTTCAGCTTTTTTAATAGCTTTTGAAAAATTCAGGTAACCAGAATTTCCCAGAATATTGTGAATCAGGCAGGTCATACCACGCCTAATTTAGTGGATGTGGGATAAGTACCATTCCTGTAATATTTTCAAAATGATGCTGACTGCAGGGAAAGCTGACACTTTCCTTACTGGGGGGTGAGGATTGGGCCTAGGACTGCTTGCTTTTTAACAGTAGGTGTGGTAACAACAGCCTTCACACAATAGATGAATTATTTGTCCCTCTGCCTTTAAAGTCTGTAAATTTGAGTTGGCCAGATGTTGAAGCCCATGTAGGAAATGTCCCATTTCTCTCTTTTTAATTCTATTGCAAAATTGCAGAAGGTGTTAATTTTACTTTATAATGTAACTTTTTTTACAGGTGCAGATTCACTCTACAGAAATAGTTTCAGCCTCAGTGATGAAAAGCTTAACTCTCCAACTGCATCTACTCCAAGCTTGCCATCTCCATCAGTAACTCCATGTAAAGGTAAACTTAATTTTAACTGTTGACATTTCTTCCTAATTCTCAACTCTACAGGCTTCTTTCTGTGAGCCAGGATTCACATGCATGCGTTGACTCTTTTTTTTTTTTTAAATGACAACAAAACTAAGGATTACTGTTAAGCAGACTACAGATGCAAGTATTATTGCGTTGATCACAAACAGCAATAGCACACTGCATCCACACTTCTTCACAGGTCACCCAGCAACTCCTTGATTTTGAAACACCAAACTATGTTAGAGTTCTTTGGTTGATCAGGAATTGTGGTACACCTTACAGAATACTTCACTTCAGAATTAACTTGTGTTACTTCTTACTGAAGCACCTAAGTAGCTTAAGTGTCCCATCTATCTACAGAAATACTTAGCCTGAATGCAGGGGTACAGTAGGTGACTCCTCTGAAGCTATATGCTGCCATTCAAGTTAACACCATTACTTAGATCCATATAGACCTTGCACTGCTGATACAACCCATGTATTAGTAATTCCTTCCTCCTTTGCAGCTGTGCTGTTTCAAAGTGGCTTCTGTCTTGCAGCTGATCTAACTCCCCAGGAGCTTGTTTCATTCAGGTTAACTTAAATTAACTCTGGAGTAGATGTATTGATAAATGAACAGTCATACATAGGTACTACATGGTGCTTTCGTTACAACTAGTCTTTTCAGATGCATGCTCAAGACCTTTTCATGCTTTCATGTCTTTTCCACGGTGACCAGTCACAAAAAAACAAGTTAAATGCTTTCTTTATAATCAGCACGATACGAGGGAGAAATAATGAATAATAGTTAATAAGAAGTAGCAAAAAAGAGTTCAGTTGAACTGGCAGGAAATACTTGGCAAGGAATTACACTAAAGGTTAAGATGCTCTTCCTGATGAGAAGACAAAAAGACAGAAATAGAGTTGAAACCAGCTTGGAATAGACCACAGAAATGAGGTAAGGAAGCCACTTGCAGTAAAACTAGATTGAATGGAAGCAGTGGTGTTCTCGGGAGTGGAAATTTAGGTGGATGTTTGGATCCAAATTTGTAGTGTATGGACCAAGATCAAAGGATCTGACATCACAGCAAACCAGTGATACTGACATGATTTAAGAGGCTTAGATTTGTGTAGGAACTGGGAGCTGACTGGGTGGGGGTTCATTAGGGCTGTGAATGCAGTATCTGAATACATGCTATAAGGAAGACTCCCACAGTAGCAAGGATATGGATTAGTTGACATACAGCTTTTTTTTTTTCTCCACTTCAGCCTCTGCTTTTAAAGGAAACTAAACAGAGGATTGCTTTGCTTCTGTCAAATGGAAAACTATAAACTAGAATTTTAATTCAGTCTCCCCTGTTTTCTAAGAATGTATTTGGACATTGCAGCAACCCTATTGAACTTACCTGAAAATATAACCCACAGCATGTTTGATACCACTGAAAATGATTTGGGGGATTGTGTGGTTCCAGTGTTTCTTTTGGCCAGAGAAATATGTCATGTCTAAGCAGCATCGACTGTCTCTTACTTTGCAGCAAAGCTTGGAGACACAAAAGAACTGGAAGACTTCATTGCTGATCTTGACAGGACACTAGCAAGTAAGTAGGTTTTTATTAGTAGGCTGTATCTCACTTGGTACTGTCAAAGAGTGATGAAAACCAATGTATGGGAGGAGGGAGAAGGGAAAAAGGGTAGCAATAGTTTTATATAACATGGCTTCATTTTAGTTTGCTAGTCCTATGGATCTTTATGTGGATAAGAAGGTAAAATGGACTAAATTCTGGTCTTTGCCTGAATGTTCAAGGCATGCAGTTTAGGTTGTGTGACAAAGGCTGTACTCTGATGAACCTCTGTCCTCACCTCTGAGGCAGCTGCAATTCACCCCTCCTTGACAGTGTAGCGATCAAGTAAACATCACTTTCTGAAATACTCAAAACTCGGCTAAAAAGTGGGGCTTTGTTTCTTCATTATAAAGCTAAGTAACTGGAGGAGTAACTGTAGGTGAGGGAAACCTTTTTATTCTAGACTTTGATTTATGAAAGAATTAAGGAGCAGGTATCTGTATCTATTGACTTAGATTAAATGTCAAAATCCTGTTTGTTTTTGTCTTTACCAGCAATGGAATTTACATCACTTTTTCTGTCACTATCTAGAAATTGTATTTTCCAGTTACAGTACTAGGTTCTTCACTATGATTTTTTTAAAGAAAAAATCAAAACTAAAAAAAATGCCCTCCCATTCCCAACCATGTACTCTGCCTATTCTTTCTGCTTCTTCCTGTGCTGTTATGGACATGATACTGTTTGGTGGTGGGGGTTTTTTTGTATGGAACCAGACTATAGAGCCCAAAACAACAAATTGTAGGACTAGACCTAAATAGCAGCATGAACAAACCCCCCCTAATAAACTATGAACTGAGAGTTTCTTGTATTCATTAGGTATTTTCCCTTCCCTGTAATTCTTGAAGCCTTGGCCGTCTGCCTTGGACTTAACTCAAGACAGCTGCCCTTATGTGCTTCCTACTTCCCTGTCGTCTTGTATCTTAATCCTGGTTTCACTTCTCTTAAAATATATTTCTAGTTTCCTGACTTCTGTCATGGACACATGCTTGAGCTAACTCCATCTTTACCACTGAAACCTCACTGACTGATTGCTCTTCTGATAAACTTCTGAGTCTGAAGGTTTGTGTAGAACAGTGAAACCCCCAAACCACCAAACGCTGACATTGCTGTGTCTTGCACAGCTGTGTTGCAGCTAACTCTTAAGGGGCTGCCTATAGCGTATTGGTTTCATTGTCCCCTTGCAAGGCATATCTAAGGTGAAGCCTGGGATTGCCACCTGCTGTAGTGGTTTTGGTGTATTTTTTCCTCCAAACTAAGCAAATCTCTAGCTATTTCAGCAGAGTCTCATTTATACAGTGTTACTTGTCTTACAGTGATAACGCTACCTTTATTATACGTGGAAATTCTGAGGAAAGAGACCAACTTCCATCTGATATTTATCATCACATTTTTAAGGAGTTGTTGTATTTATATGCTTGAAGTTACACTGAACTTTGTACAGATGTCTTTTCAAGCCTCATGCACTTGTTAGAACAGTAATCGCCTCAAATTTTTACACGCTCTTGTGTTAATTAAAAAAAGGTGTAATTTTGGCCTGTCAGGCAGTCTAGCAAGCTGGGTGTAGATAGGGTGTCTGGTATGTCAACAACATGCAATCTCGTTTAATATAGGACTTAATGATCTTGTTTTGTATTTCCAGGTATGTGAAATGAATCTTTGGCATTGTGCTTGCCTATGAATGTCCTCTGAAGGATAAGTGACATCAATCACTGAACTGCTGCCCTTGTCTGATAACTTTGCTACCCCAGATATTCACCTTCTGAACATAACCTTTGTAAACTCCTACAAGTATTTAACTGGTAACATCAGTTTTGTTACTTTGCAGCAGGTGGAATAAGATAACTTAAGTGTTACAGCTGTATTTTGCTTTAAAACATAGCTTGAATTTTAATTTAAAGTTGCTTTTATGAAAATATATTTGTAATTTTATATAGTTGAGAACTTTCAATGCTTTTTTCCATTATAATATATTTTTGTATGCAAATAAACCCTGAACTGGAATCCAGATGTCTGAAAGCTTCATGTGAACTCTGAAACATTAAGTACAAATTACGCTCTTATTGAAAACGTCAAGCTTTAAAATATCTGATAAGGGTGTATTTCCTGTTAGGCAAAATGTGTGATGCTGGCTTCATGGGGAACTTCATATTCTTCTTTTCAAATTGCTTAAATAAGAGAATTTTGTACTATGTAAAATTAATACAATCAGGGAAATAATAAAATTGGTTAGACTTCAGATTTGCTTTAATACAAATGAAATAACACTGACTTAGTACAGATTTCAACAATAACACCTATTTCAAACCCTAGGTAAAAGCTAGCTGTAGAATTCCACACCATTCTACAAGAAGTACTGATTGGGAGGTCAGACACTTAGGCCCATGGGTTTAAAGGTATGGACATCCTGTAGGACCAAGAAAATACTTAAGTGTCTGGATGTTTCTGGTACCAGACCCTTGGGTCCAAAACAGTCTACCACTCTGAAAAGACTTCCTGGTCATCAGTCTTATGCTGAAAGAGTGGAAGGTGAACCTGTATTTTCACAAGGAACCTGATTCTTTCCATATGCATTAGGCACTGGAGATGTCATTACGTGAGCTCTCCTGCAGCTGCTGCAGGCATTACACTTGGCTCTGCTGTCAGAGCTGCTCATGCCATTGCCCTCTAATCTGTTCAGACCGAGTGAGCTGGGCTGGTTTGAAGTCCAGGTCTTATTTTGACCAAAGCAGGCTAGCGAGCAGTTGCATGAGTGGTTCAGGTATTGTGCCCCCTTGGTCTGTTATCATCTTTGAGTGTGGCTATGGCTGTGGCTGTGGCACAGCTACCAGCCAGTTGCTTAGGGACCTTAAAGGATGGATTTGGACCTGTGCTCTGCAGCTTGTGGTGTGTCTTTGCTGTATTTGCTACTGGGAACACCGGGAGGATGATGCAAATCCATCTTCCTGCTTTGGGTTTTCTAAAAATTGACCAGAACACTTGGATCTTGTTAAACGCCGTATGATTTCTCCAGTTTTATTCATTGGTATGAATGAAATTCTGAACTGGGTACATTTTAATCAGTCTGAAACAACCTTGAGGTGGTTGTGTGGGTTTTTTGCCCTTCTGCCTGAAAGAAGGAATGTAAGATGGTGGATTATTTTTCTGAAGAGGAAAAACTCCCTTCAGCGTTTCCTACCGTAGATTCAGGTGGTAAATTGTCCCTTAGAACAGAAATGGAGTGGACTGACTTAGGAGGGCGAAGTTTCCTGTTGCTCTAGGTGAACTGTAAAGTCTGAAGGAAGGTGGGATGGTTCAAGTTCGAGACAGTGATGTGCTTCTGCATGCTCTGGGACATTCTCAGATGCTCCTGCACAGCAGGCACCCCATTTTGAGCAGCAAGGTAGGCTTGGAAATTCACTGCTACTACAAGATAAACACACAGGAGCAAATCCTCCTTTTGGCTGCCTCTGTGCAACTGAGAGGGGAGCCTGGCCCTTCTCCCCGGTCCCGGGTGCAAAGGGATGTGTTGCTGGGCGAAGCCGGGGAGGGGGATTCCCTGGGCTGGTGTAGGACTTGCTGTTACATGGGGAGGGAGAGGCACTGTGCCCTTCAGTAGAAGCTGAGGGAAGGGGAACCAGGAGAGCTGAAACAAGCTCACGCTTTTCTTTTAAGAAACGTCTTTGGCATAAGGCATGTTTTTAAAGGTGCTTGAATAGCAGCAGCAGTTTTGGCTGGCTTTCTGCGTTTTAACACTCTTTGCTAGGGTGAACGATGGAGCGGTGGTGAATGGCAGATGTTACCATCCCGAAGGCAGAATACCCCAACTAAGTGTGTGTTAAATAAGCCACGAGTTTCAGAGGAGGCCACCTCAAGCGATCGTGGGCTGTGGGGGAGATGGATGGCTGTTTGTTCCTCCGTTCCTCAGGTCAGATTGTTTGAGGCGTTGGGCATGAGTTTTCCACTTCCCCTCTGCACGTTTAGTTGTTGCTCAATCCCATCAAACACTCTGGGCCTATAATCAGTATTTAAAGTTGGATGTCTCCCTTTATAGAGTGATATCACCAAATCAGTACAGTACTACTTTGGAATGGCAATACTTTGTCCTTACAGACACCCAATTTTGAAGATTTTTCCAGTATAAGCAAAGGCTTAAAGCAAGGCGTGTTCCTCACTTTGTGTAACGTCAGTTGGGGATGAAACTGGGGATTAAGTCACCATCTGTTTGGCTTTTTTAATCTTATTTATGCATGAACAGGTGGAGACTTCTGCTTGCTTATACAGCAGTTCTGGAGATCATCGGCCGCAAAATCTGGGAGTGTCTTGTGCGGAGCTGTTGAGCTAAATTCCCTCCAGTTTGTTATGCTCAGTTTTGAACGTCTTGCTGTGTCGGAAGGAAGGCACTAATGTAGATGTCATTTCACTGGCCCATGCTTATGACTTAAGTTCATCATCTAATTACATATGGCACTGAAAAATGCATTACTGAGAAAAGTTCCTGCAACACTCTATCCCCAGTGAGTATTGCTGGAGGCAGCGCTGTCCTTATGGACCAGCCTGACTTTTTAATCCCTGATTTGACCTCCCTCTTGTGCTGTGATGCTGAGCTTGGATTCAGAAGAGAGTCTTGGCCCTGTCGTGTCAACACCACTCATCCAGAAATGGAAACGAGGAGCTTAGACTAAGCAGGTGTATTGCCGCAGCTTAACGTGTGTAAGGTGAGGTGCAACAATTATTTGCACGTATGCTCTTTACCTATTGTAAGTTCAAGGTTAAATGGATTAGTTTCAACCTCCATCACTGAGGCTTGAGCTAATGTGTCTTATCTTGGGTTTGCTGTTGACTGTGTGTGTCCTGGGTGCCGTCACCCAGGCTCAGCTGATACGTGGTAACTCATTAAGCTTGGTAATGTGCTCATTTTTCTTAGCCCTTAATAAAAGAGAGAGAAGAGCCAAAGGAGGGATTTTTTTCTTTTTCCTGACTGCATGTGTGTCTGTAGCCACTACTGATGCACTGACAGCCAGGTGAGTTTATGGGAGGGAGGAAAACAGTTGCGTTGGCAGTGACGGAGCTTGCTTATAGGGAAGGGCTCAGCCCCTGCCAGCTCCTACAGCCTGTTGTCCCAGTGCCTCCCCCGCTCCTTCGTTACCGGTATTTGCTTTGCAGTACGCGCTGGGCATGGAACTGATTTTCAGCAGGGTTGCCTAATGCGAAGGGTCAGAGGGGGGACAAGAAACCATGTTCACAGCTTCACAGATTCATTTAAGCCTTGGTTTCAGCAGTGGATGCTTGCAAAGAGAAAACCCACACAGAGCGCTTCTGCCTGCTGGGAAACGTTTGTGCCTGCAAACACAGATTTTTTTTAGTTTGTATCATTAATTGTTGCTTTTAGATCATTGTCCAGCTGCTTCTCACCCTGCGTGAAGGGAAAAGAATTCACCGGTGGGAAAAGTCCACCCAGCATGGGTCTCTGTAGAGGAACTCGGAGTTCATCTCGGGTGGTGTTCAGCTCGGATGGACCTGGCTGACCATCCGAGAGGTATTTGCACCACACTGGAGCCCATCTTACGTGAGATTTCATTTATCTGAAGGTGCCTAAATGTGCTAGACATGACATCTGCTAGACTGCTGGAGAGAAACTTCCAAAGTTGTGATGTTTGGAAGCAAAGCGAGTATCATAAAGCCAGTATGACGGCAGCAGCTCTTGAACTAAATCCAGCTCTGCATACTAACAGCACGAACTCCATATTCTCAACGGGGAAAACTCCTGTTTTCTGTGTTACTTTCTACATTACTGACTTCATTGCAGCCTGGCTAACAGCTCTAGTTGTCTAAATAACTTCACAATAATGTAAGATGATCCTGGCTGCTATATCTCATCGGCTTAGAGTTGTAAACCAGATCTTTTCAAGGTCCTTTTCTTTCTTACAGATTTGAAGCTATCAGTTAAATGCTGTAGATTGGCTTGTGGGATTAAAGCAGGCCAGTCAGTACAAAAGGATGCTAATGCTTTGGTTGCTTTTGCTCTTTCACGTCTATGCTTTGGAAACTAAAATATTTATCAGTTCAGCTCTTAAAAACTACAGACTAGAGGCCTGCACCTCCATTCTTCCCAGGCATGCAGCGCTCGCTGGCTTCTCTGGGAGGCTTGAGGATGCTTAAATAGGCTTCAAGCTGGAAGTGAGTATTGCCTTCTCCATAGCATATGGCTGTAATACTGACCACCATCCTTCGGTTCTGTTTATAATGTATTTCAGATCAGTATTTATAATTAAGAACGATGCCCTTGTCTCAAAAAACAAATCATGGTATTTTGGTATATATGCAGTCTTCACATTTAAAAAAAAAAAAAATCTTGCTAGCGTGTCAAATCAAGTCAGGACCAATCCTGCCTGACTTAGGCTCTTAGATAAAACACCGAAGTTAGGATGTTGTCCTTGGCTCCTTCACTAGCCATTACAAGGAGAGGGGAGGCTGAATTATCCCCTGATGATGTTCGTTTGCTACAGCGAATATTGCAAGACTGTGGACAAGCAGACTTTTCACTTAGGCTTCATAATCAGCTGCCTAAAGAAAAGTTTGCTGTGTCGAAATAAACCTGCCTACGACTGGCCTTAGAGTATAGCAGTTTGTGGGGCTGGAAGAGCAGAGGCAAAACTACCCATCTGGCCAGGGTGACCTGTTTTGGGGGCTTTGCATCACACTGTGCAAGCACAGCAGCTTGCTTCAGCCCTGTGACTTGGGGCATCTGTCCCCCCTGCCATGCTGGGCAGGGTAACAAAGGGGAACCCCAGGTTGGTGCTTGGATATCATGGCACCGACCTCCAGTCGTTTGCTTTTTGGCTTCAGGCACCCTGAGAGCATGCTCTCCTCTTGCACTGCTCCGTGCCGGTGCTCTGAGTCAGCAGCCCAGCTAACGTGCCCTGCCTCCCCACCTCGTGCTCAAAGCCAGGCCAGCCATGCTTGTGTGGCAGGTTGTCTGGAGGCTTTGGTTTTGTT